CTGGCCCGAGACCTCTCCCCTTCCTACCCTGCATCGACTGCAGCTGGTCTGCGGCAGGTGGCGCCCAATGCGGGGCAGGTAAGGGGGGTAATCAATTAATTATAGTTCGGTCTTGGGCGGCCTTCACCCCATAGGGCACTGCAGGCCCCGCACTCAGAGAAAAAGAGTAGGCGTTAAGAGAGGGGTGAATAGTCAGAACTTATAGAGAAGATAATGGGCCACAAGGGGTCTAAAGAAAGAGGACTCATTGTTGATATTTTACAACACTGTTTGCAATCTCATAAGGTTAAGGTTGCTACCAAAAATTTATCAGCCTTCCTGGACTTCATTCAGAAATGTTGTCCTTGGTTCCCAGATGAAGGAACTTTCGACATGGATACTTGGGGACGCGTGGGAAAAGACACACAGAAATATTATACTGAATATGGGCCAGAAAAAACTCCTGTTAATGCTTTCTCTTATTGGTCTGTGATTAATCAATCTATGGGTTTTTCTATGATTAATTCTTGTCCCTCAGATACTTTTCCTTCAGCACCCCCAGAGGAAACTCCATTGTTAAAGACTAAAAAATTTCCTTCCATTTATGGGGTAATAGAAAATGAAAATGATTCAGATGAGCTTTTGCCACCTTCCAAGGAGAAGGATTTAGAGGAACAAGCAGCTCGATATCACAATCCTGATTGGCAACCTTTACAGCCCACAGCTTTGTGCAGCCCTAAAAAATCTAAAGGTAAGGCTCGCAGGCAACCTTTTCCTCCACCACCAAATCAGGTTGGCTTTGCAGGAGCTGTTCGTGAAGCTACTGCAGTGGGCGATGCCACTTTCTCCTGCTTTCCTGTCATCTTTGACGCAGACTGGGACTATGAGCCGGTATGGGAACCTTTACCTTTTAAACTGCTAAAAGAAATTAAAGCCGCTGTACATTCTTACGGGGCTTCTTCTCTCTATACTACAACTTTGCTAGAAACCTTAGGAGGGAAATGGATGACTCCATACGATTGGCAACAGGTAGCAAAAGCCTGCCTGCCTGGAGGGGATTATTTGTTATGGAAAATGGAATATGAAGATAGAGTAAAAACAGAGATAGAAAACTCAAATAAACATAAAAGGGGAATTACTTTAGATATGCTCCTGGGAAACGGGGACTGGGTAGCAGCCAGAGATCAGATGCATTTGTCAAAAGAAACTTTGGCACTTACCACAGATTTAGCACTTAGTGCCTGGAGAAAACTCCCCTTAGGGGACGCCAAGGCTGGAGGACTAGTCTATATAAGACAAAAATCTGAAGAACCCTATGAGGATTTCGTTGCTCATCTCGTGTCTAATGTTTATAAGATTGTTACAAATGAAGAGGCAGCTCAAATCATTGGCAAATAGTTGGCATATGAAAATGCTTCTGAGGTTTGTAAAACTCTAATTAAGCCTTTTTTGAAAACCAGTTCTCTTACAGATTTTGTCAGGGTATGTGCTGAAGTGACTCCTTCCTATTTGCAGGGGGTGACTATTGCTGCAGCCTTACAGGGAAAAACTTTAGTTCAATTAATGGGACAACAGGCTACCAGGGGAAGAGGTAGAAATATACAGATTACTTGTTTTCATTGCAATCAGCCAGGACATATTAGTAAGGAGTGCCCTTTAAGGGGTTCCCAAAAACCAAACTGGTCCTTACAGAAGGACAAACCCTCCAGCATTAATACCCCTTCCCTTCCATGCTCTAGATGTAGTAAAGGGTTCCATTGGAAGAAAGATTGTAGGTCTAAATATCACAAAGATGGCAGTCTTCTGCCTCCTCCAGACTTAAATAATCTACCTGACCACCAGTCAGGAAACTATCAGAGGGGCCATCCCCTGGCCCCTCAAACAATGGGGGTATTCAGTCCTCAGAACCCATTCGCCGTGGGGTCACAGAACTCCAACGGGCCACTCCAGGAAGCGCAGGATTGGACCTCAGTTCCACCTCCTCAACAATACTGACTATGGACTCCCTGCCTGTTGCGGTGCCTACTGGAGTGTATGGACCTCTTCCTGAAGGTACCGTGGGGATAATATTGGGGAGGAGTTCCACTTCCTTACAGGGTATTTCTGTTATTCCTGGAGTTATTGATGCTGATTATACTGGTGAAATCAAGGTTATGTTGGCCCCTCCCTTAAAAACTGTACAGGTTTATCCAGGACAAAGAATAGCACAGTTGCTGCTTTTACCATCTATGACTGTGGGCTCGTCTATTACAACTGAGGAACGGGCTGATAAGGGCTTCGGCTCTAGTGACTGGACTTTCTGGATACAACAGGTTAGATCTTCTCGACCTACAAAAATCTTACTCGTTGAAGGAAGGAAGTTTGAGGGTCTTTTAGATACTGGGGCTGATGTCTCCTGTATAGCAGGAAAAGACTGGCCTGCCTCTTGGCCTGCCTTGGCCAGTGCTTCTCAGCTGCTTGGCATAGGACAAGCCACTCAAGTGACAAGAAGTTCTGCTATCCTTCATTGGTCTGATGGATCTAACAAAGGAACTTTTACCCCCTACATTGTACCTGCCCTGCCTATTTCTCTATGGGGTCGTGATATTTTATCTCAGATGGGTTTACTTTTGGTTAGTCCTGATGATAAGGTTACAACACAAATGTTGTCTATGGGTTTTCAGCCTGATAAAGGATTGGGTAAATATTTACAAGGAAGAACTTCACCTATTGAACCTCAAAACAATCCTAGAAGGACTGGGCTAGGTTATATCCAGGATTTATCGTAGGGGCCACTGCTCCTTTAACAGCTGATCCCATTACTTGGAAATCGGAAATGCCAGTATGGGTTGAGCAGTGGCCCTTATCTATAGAAAAACTCCTGGCTGCCCAACGATTGGTAGAGGAACAATTCCAAGCCGGTCATATTGAGCCTTCCACTTCTCCTTGGAACACTCCAATTTTTGTCATTAAAAAGAAATCAGGTAAATGGTGCCTGCTACAAGATTTAAGGGCTATTAATGAAGTTATGGAAACAATGGGTGCCCTCCAGCCTGGCCTTCCCTCTCCGGTAGCCATTCCAAAAGCTTACAATATTGTTGTAATAGATTTACAGGATTGTTTCTTTACAATCCCCTTACATCCTGCTGATAGGGTCAAATTTGCTTTTAGCCTACCTTCTCCTAATTTCCAAAAACCTTTTCAAAGATTTCAATGGAAAGTATTACCTCAAGGTATGAAAAATAGCCCAAATCTTTGTCAGAAATTTGTTTCAGAAGTTATTGAAAAAATTAGGATACAATTTCCTACAGTTTATATAAGTCATTATATGGATGATATTCTCCTTGCTCATCAAGATCGTTATGTGCTTCAGGATTGTTTAATACATCTCACTAAGGCACTAGAAATTAGTGGATTAAAAATAGCCCCAGAAAAAATTCAAGTCCAGCCTCCGTTTTCGTATCTGAGTAGAACAATTGATGTTGATAAAGTCTCTTCACCCATGATTCAACTAAGAATAGATTCCTTAAAAACTTTAAATGATTTTCAAAAATTGCTGGGAGATATTAATTGGCTATGGCCCTTTCTAAAGGTACCCACTGCAGATCTCATTCCTTTATTTGACATTCTTAGAGGAAATTCCGATCCAAATTCTCCAAGAAGCCTGACTGAAGAAGGAAAAAAGGCTCTCTTTGTAATTGAACAAGCTATAAACAATCAGACCATAACCCGAGTGGATTATGCTCTCCCTTGGCAATTAATTATTTTAGCCACCCCATGCTCACCATTTGGTTGACTTTGGCAGAAGGGACCTTTAGAATGGCTCTTTCTCCCTGCCTCACAAAAAAGGGTGGTGGCAAGTTATCCTTCTCTTTGTGCAACTTTAGTACAAAAAGGCAGACGTCGTAGTAGGGAATTATTTGGTACAGATGTAGCTGAAATTATACTTCCCTTCACAGTGTCACAATATCAGTGGCTGCTTGAAAATGATATGGATTGGGACATTTCTTTAGTCTCCTTCTTAGGAAAAATCTCTTTCCACTTGCCTTCAAGCCCACTTCTACATTTTATAAAACTTCATCCTGTTATATTCCCTCGATTAACCTCACCCAAGCCTCTAAGCGCCGCCGCTCTAGTATTCACAGACGGGTCCTCTAATGGTAGAGCAGTGACTATTATAAATAAACAAACTCACATACAAGAAACTCAAGAGATGCCCAACGTACTGAGTTGTTAGCAGTCATTTTTGCTTTCTCAAAATTGAACAATCAGCCTTTTAACTTGTACACTGACTCTCATTATATTTTTGGGCTCTTCCCACACATAGAGACTGCTTATTTACATTCTAGTACTAATCCTATTATAAGTTTGCTACAACAGCTACAACAAATGATACATGTGAGACGGGCACGATTTTATGTGAGACATATTCGCGCCCATTCCAAATTACCAGGACCCCTACATGAAGGTAATGCCTTGGCAGACGCCCTAACGCGCCCTCTAGTGGCTTCGGTTGAGATGGCTGCAACAGATCACAAAATCCATCACCAGAATGCGGCTGCCCTTAGAAATCAATTTCATATCACTAGAGAAGCAGCTAGAGAAATTGTAAAACAATGTGGACAGTGTGTTGAATTCTTGCCCTCTCCCAAAACAGGAGTCAATCCTAGAGGCTTAAGGCCTAACGACTTATGGCAAATGGATGTTACTCATGTGCCTTCTTTTGGAAAACTTTGCTTTGTTCATGTTTGTGCTGATACTTTCTCTCATGCCCTTTTAGCCACCGCAAGATCTGGAGAAGCATATAAAGATGTAATGCAGCATCTCTTTTTTTGTTTTACTATATTAGGCAAACCTCATAATATAAAGACAGATAATGCTCCTGCATATACTTCTGCTTCTTTTAAAAAATTTTGTAATATGTTTAATATTACTCACACCACAGGGATTCCATATAACCCTCAAGGACAAGGAGTTGTAGAGCGTTCCCACCAAATTCTTAAAGCACAAATTGTCAAATTCCAACATGGAGTATTTAAGTATTCTTCACCTCATCATATACTGAACCATGCCCTTTTTGTAATTAATCATTTAAATCTAGATTCACAGGGACTGTCTCCCATGCAGTGACATTGGCAAACTCCGGATACCTATCCTAAACAATTAGTAAAGTAGAAAGATCTTTTAACCGGCCAATGGAAAGGTCCCGACCCATTATTAACCAGCGGTTGAGGATATGCTTGTGTTTTCCCACAGAACTCCGATTCACCTATCTGGGTCCCAGATCGTCTGGTACAACTACATGGCAACACCACCGCCCTACAGCCCACGTCCTACCTATTCATCGATCCCGCTGAGGATGCTCCCTCCTCCGCCATACCAGGAGAACATCTATGAGGAGCTTCGTCCCTCCCCTCGGGGTCCACCTTCTCCTTCCTCTCTTACAGATTTAGAGCTCAGAGTTGATCAGCTGTCTGCTCGTCTCCATCAGCTTCAGTTACAGGGACGTCCTCGTCACCGTCCTGCATGCTCTACCAGACAAAGTCCTCCACCGACCTGGGGCCAAATTAAGAGCCTCACCGAAAAGGCCAAGGGTCTCGTCTATAGTCAGCATCTCCCTATGACTTCTGATAGGCTGTTTGTTGCAATGTTAGCTATGATTGCTACTCAGGTACTTTTACCCTGCTCAGCCGTAACCTCTCCCTATTGGGCTTATGTCCCAGAACCTCCTTTACTTCACCCAGTCACCTGGGATTATGATAATGTTAAAATAGTAACTAATTATCCTCAACTTATGGGAGAAGATAATTCCTTTATCTCCCTCAAATATACTCATCATTTTAACTATACAGGTCATGCTGATGACATACCTATTTGTGCTACTACTATCCAAACATCCCTTCCTGGATGTATCCCTCTATATTATAATGATATGTATGCTGACTCCCCTGCTGAGGGAAAAAACAAACGAGATTTATGGTCCCTCTTGTTACGACTACCTGGAAATTTAACCCAGTTTTCAAAACACACTGGCTTTATGCCTAGCCTTATCTCCCCTTGTCAATCAGCATCTGATGCAGAATATATTTGGAAAAATATTGACAGGCGCTGTGGATTCCCCACGTGGTTTTCCTGTGGTTTTATCACCTCCACAATTTCTCACCCATTACCATTCTCTAATCAAAGTTTATATGATTGGTCCGTGTCAAGTCTCAACTATGATTATACTGATTATCTTAAAAGAAATTCCTTCACTTATTCTTGGTCGAGCTCCAATTTACCCTTAACCGGACCTGTAAAGCATTGGTATTCTCCTGGATGGGTGGCCCCCATATATACCTTAACAAACACAAGTAAGATACAGACAGGCCTATATCGTCTGTTTGCTTCCACAGGCCTTGTTACTTTCTATAGACCAAGTACAAAAAACACTTCCTTGATAACTTTACAGGCCTGTGTACTCTCCCCTTACGCTATTCTAAGTACTGGTAAAACGGGTTTTATGTCAATTTCTGTCACTAATCACTCTACTTATAATATTCAATGTGATAATTGTGTGTTAACTAATTGCCTTAATTCATCATTTGGGCAACAGACATTCCTCTTGGTAAAACAGCCACCTTATGTTATGCTTCCAGTAAATGTTACAGGACAATGGTATGATAATCCAGGCCTACAGGCTCTTCAATTAATTGTAGATGCCCTTTCACGCCCAAAACGATTTGTCGCAGCTCTCATTCTTGGCATCACTGCCTTAATAAGCATCATAACTTCACTTGCTGTCTCCACAACTGCCCTGGTAAAAGAAATTCATACTGCACATCATGTTAATGAACTAACAAAAAATGTTTCTCTAGCATTAGCCACCCAAGAAATTATTGATTAAAAAGTTAAAATCTAGGATAAATGCTTTAGAAGAAGCAGTGTTTTATATAGGGAACCAGGTACAGGCCATTAAAGTTCGTATAGCTGCTGCCTGCCATTCAGATTTCTGTTGGATCTGTGTTACGCCATTACCCTATAATGATAGTCATATGACATGGGAACAGGTACAGGCCCATTTAAAGGGAGTATGGAGAAATACTCCCCTGTCTATAGATGTACAACATTTACATTCACAAGTTAGTGCTATTAGTCAGGCACAACTACAAACCTCTTCAACAGAAATAATAGCTAGCTCTTTCCTGTCTTCCCTCTCCTCCTCTATTTCAACAAAAATCTTTTTCTCTTTTATTATCAATTTGGGAACCACCATTTTAGTCATATTAATCCTCCTATTTTGTCTTCCAGTCATCTTCAGACAATTAATTCGAGCCCTCAAGAATATCCAACTTGAACTCCAGGCCACCAAAATAAAAAAACAAAAACAAAAAAGGGGGGGATGGCGAAGCCCAACTGACCTCCAAGGCTGCTTGAAAAAGTTCCAGCTTGGGGAAAAGAAGGGTGGAACACATCGTACCCTCATGTTTTATTTTTTTCACGCCATAATGTTTACAATTGTTACTCTGGTCACAGGAGTCATTGTGTTTGTGACTAACAACATATTCTCCATGAGGCAAATTGGCAATGTTGTATTGAAATCTGATCTGGCTCAAAAGTCCCAAATTCCTGTTTCTTTTAGTTCTATTGCCACATCCACTTCTAAAGAAACCTCTCCTGAAACTCCCTCTGTTTTCCTGCTACTATAACTCCTTTCTTCTATTGATGACTTTCTTTTTACTAAAGGGGTCTTATAAAGAGACTGAAAGGACAGATTTTAGATGTAAGACACAGTGGGAAATGGGAAATAGAAAGAAAGTTAAGACAGATAAATACACTAAGGAGGCAAGTTACTCAGCTTTTCTCAAAGTACTGTAAACATCTCCTGCTCATGGACCATGAACCCAAATAACACTTAAGTAAGATGAATAGAGGTATAGAAAAATAGAGAGCTAATAGCAAACTATATTAACCATTGTGCAGTTTCTCAAGGGTCAGCTGACAACCACAAGTTTGACATTTAATTAACTAAATCTTGCTTGTACCCCCGCTGATATAGAGATTTTGATTAAGTTACCTTCTGTGCTGCTTAGGTGTGGGTAAATAAGGGGACAATTGTAATTTTTAAAATGTATTCATGATGGTCAATGAAATGAATCAGCTTAGGAAAAATATACTCTGTTTAGCAAAAAATAACCTTTACTTCAATAGAAATTGCTAAGGCAACCTAAAATGTAAACATGTTCTGCCCAATGCCTCCTAGCCATTGCTTAAAGATATAAAAATAAATCAGACCCTGAGACTTCTCAGAGGGAACCTGCACATTGCTTGTGAAGGTTCTTTTCTCACTCGCCGGCCCGGGACCTCTCCCCTTCCTACCCTGCATCGACTGCAGCTGGTCTGCGGCATTTTAATGATACAAACAGCCCACTGTGGCATGCATGCCATAGGGTTGCCACCACTGCTTATGATCTAACTTGGACAGATTTTCATGAACTGTTTCTCTTTTGATATGCCCCTGAAGAAAAGGCATAGGCAGCAGCACAGGCTAAGGCTGATGAAGTACATGCCTGAAATAATGACAAAGGTGTGGGTACAGTTGCAGCAATACTAGACTGCAGATAAGGGCTGTGAGAACCATGCTGAAATATTACTCATTTGATTGGTGGGATGAGAAATTGTATGAGTCAGCCAGTCAATCATGAAAAGACTAGGGAAATCGCCCAAGACAAGGAAGAAAATCCTGGGTGCTTAACTGACTCTCCATAAATATACTAATATTGAGCCCAACTCACAGGCAGGACAAATTTTATTGGGAACACATTTTATTAGCCAGTCTGTCCTAGATATTTGTAGAAAGTTTCAGAAGGAAGCTATGGGAGCTCAGATGCCTATTAAGGAACTTTTTTTTCTGGTACCCAGGATCGAACTCGGGACCTTGTGCTTTCGAGGCAGGCTATGGAACCGGTGAGCTAAATCCCCGGCCCTTAATGAACTTTTAAACTTGGCCTTTGTTGTTGTTAACAAGGACAAAGTAGCAGCAAATATCAAGGCCCAGGAGAAACAACCAATTTATTGCTTTGGCATTAGAAAACAAAACCCTGTCTTCTCAGAAAGATGGCAAGAATCCACATACAAAGAGAGAGAATAAGAGATTAGATGGCTCTACTGCTATGGAGAGCCTGAACACTAGTGAAAAGACTGCAGTAAGTGCGGCTCTTCACCTGGGATGTGCCCCCGCTGTAAAGAAGGAGAACACTGGAGGTGAGACTGCATTCTCACCTGCTTCCAGTTTGGCTTCCCTGGAAGATTGAAGGTGCCCAAGTTTTCTCAAAGTCCCTCTCAATAAAGTGGACATCACTCGGCAGGAGCCTCAGGTAACTTTTCATGTGGTGGGTAAAGATACTTTTCTTGTTGTTGGATATCTGGGCATCAATATTTGCCTTGCTCAAATTCCCTGGACCCCTTTCTAATAAGAAAGACCTGTGTTGTGACTGGTGTTGATGGTATCCTTAAGGCCAAAGCTTTACAATGCCTTTAAAGTGCAGATTTGGGGAACTTATTTTCACTCAAGCTTTCCTAGTTTTCCCAGAATCTCCTATCCCATTGTCAGAAAGAGTTTCTTTTGCCTGTTTAGGGGCAACTCAGCCAAATTGTACCCCTTTGTTGGAAACAAAAAAAACATACTTATGATAAATGGGGCAATGCCATATGGAACATGGGACGGATTCCTACCCAGAGCTGTAATCACACTATTGTATTAAGATATAATGACTTGTTTGCTACTGACTGGAAGGCAAGAGCTGGAATAAGATGGCCAGGCCTTGACGGTACCCAGTGGCTCTTTGGCACAAACCTATAGGTTTGGCTGCCTGCAGGGTGGATAGGAAGATGTACATTAGGTATCCATGGGTCCAAGGGATCTGGGTTGACACCATAGATTGACTAGCCAACTTCCCAGTCTTGTGACATTGATGGACCAGATCAGTTTTTTACTGGTATAATCATTCGGGCTTTATCTTTATTACCCAAACAGGATTTGAGAATGTAATGAGGTACATTGAATCTATTTATTTATTTATTTGTTGAGTTTATTGGTACATTTTAGGTATACATTATGATCACATTCCTCATTGGGAATTTGTACCCATACATGATATATCTTGGTTCTTATTTTTTTGCCATTCCCCTGCCCTCCCTTCAACCTCTCCCTATTTACATAAGCTTTATTTCCATTTTTCCTTCTTTTATCATTTTTTCTTTCGCTTCTTCCCCCCCCGCCCAGTTCCCCTTCCCCTTTGAACATTTTCTATTTCACAATATCTATTATGCATTCTGGCCCTCATTTATACTTTCAGTTTCTCACACCAGAGAAACAATTTGGTATTTACACATGTGTGTCCTATTTATTTCACTTAGGAGTATGGCCTCAAGATGTATCCATTTAGCTATAAATATCTCTAGTTTATCTTTCTTTATGGTCGAGTAGTACTCCATTTTATAAAAACAAAAACATCTTTATCCAATGACCAGTTGATGGGCATTTGGGCTGTTTCCAAGATTTAGCTATTACAAACTATGCTGCTATAAACATGGGTTTTCATATATCATTGTGGTATGATGCCTTTAATTCTTTTGGGAATGTATCCAGAGGTGGAATAGCTGGGTCAAATGGGACCTCTAATTGTAGTTTTTTGAGGAATCTCCACAGTGATTTCCACAGTGGTTGGACCAGTCTACATTCCCACCAGTGGTGCAGAAGGGTTACTTTTTCCCCACAGCCTCACCAGCATTTGTTATTGCTTGATTTCTCCATAGAACCCATTCTTTCTGGAGTGAGATGGAATCTCAATATTGTTTTTATCTGAATCTCTCGAATGACCAGTGATGTTGAACATTTTTTTCATGTTTATTTGTTGCTTCTACTTCTTCATCTGAAAAATGTCTATTCATTTCAGATGCCCATTTTTGGATTGGATCTTTAAATTTGGGGTCTGATTTTTTTAAGTTCTTTATATATTCTATAGTAGTCCTTTGTCTGAGGAACTGCTGGTAAAATTTTTTTCCCGCATCGTAGGTTATTTCTTCACTCTGTTGGTGATTTCTCTTACTGTGTGGAAGCTTTTTAATAAGATGAGATCCTAGTTGTTGATTTTTTGTGCGTTTCCATGCAACTGAGGTTTTGTTCATAAAGTCTTTTCCTATGCCAATGTCTTCAAAAGTTCCACCTAACATATCTTCCAGCAGGTTTTGTGTTTCTGTTTTAATATTTAGATCTCTTTTTTTGTTTTTTTTGTTTTGTTTTGTTTTTGGTACCGGGGATCAAACTTGGGTCCTTGCGCTTGCACAGCAGGTGGTGAAACCACTGAGCTAAATGCCCGGCCCAATATTTAGATCTTTGATCCATTTCAATTTTAGTTTAGTGCATGGTGAAAGATATGGGTCTAGTTTTAATCTTTGGCAAGTTGAAACCCAGTTTTTCCAGCACCATTTATTAAAGAGGCTATCTTTCCTCCAGTGAGGGTGTTTGGCTCCTTTACCAAAGATGAGGTGGCTGAGTGTGTCTGGAGTTGTTTCTGCATCTTCTAATCTGTTCCACTGGTCCTCAGGTCTGTTTCTTTG